AAGTTCTTGTAGAGGAGCCTCTACAGAAGCAGAGTGTCCCAATGCATGAGATTTTAACAGCAGAGCCCAGTTCTTGCACACTGGCCTCTGTATAGGAAACAAGCCCATCTAATGTCTGATACAGGGAATAATACAAAAAATAGTTTCCTGGAAAACACCATTCTGTCCTTTGGCTGTCCTTGTCTTGCCACTGATTGGGATCTCTTGGTCTGACATTGAGAAGCCCAAAGACTAAATTTCTCAAACTCTAGTAAGTTGCATTTTTGATGTGAACCACAAAATATGTAGGGCTGTGAGAGTGATAGACTGATAGTGAGGAGACCCACTGTCAGTTCCCAATTTACCTAACTACTTAGAAGGAATTGATAGCAGAGTCTGTATAGATAATATAGAACTTTCATTACAATTTCCTCATTAGAAAACCAAATGCACAGTATGTTCTGAATGTTCCCTTGCTTTGTATATCCATACATTATGTGGCATTACTGTCTTTGAGCGTGAAGATAATATACTCTATAGGAAAAGATTGTTTGATCCTTAGTCTCGTGGTTCTCTTGTGCTTACCTCCTAAGGACATGTAGGAAGACAGATTTCATTTTAGCTGAATGTGCTTCACATTCTTGTGACTTTTTTCTCCTTAAAAAAATGTACTTTGCAGGTTATATACTACAGTAAGTTGTATAGAAAGAAAACCCTACCCTGCCTTGCTTTTTTAATTCTGAATCTTATTACAGGACTCACAGGTTACTGCTTTAATAAAGAAGTTGTTTGTTTTAGAGTCTGTCTGGTTCTCCCTTTAATCTTACTTTTTCCCATCCCTGCAGAAAAAACAAAGGGAGTTTGAAGAGTACATCAGAGACAAATACATCACTGCCAAAGCCGACTTCAGGACACTGTTGAAAGAGACCAAATTTATAACCTACAGGTGAGTGCAGTCGGGTGTCCCACCGGCAGCCGTGTCCACTAGCCTGTACTCTAACGGCCAGAGCATACTTTTCACTCACACACATGTTGACATTGTGAATTTTAGGAGTCAGAAGACGCCAGCGTTCCTCGAGGGCAGATACAGGCTGTACCACAGAACCTTTTTGGTTTTATTTTTTTATTTTTTAATTTTTTTTAAAGAAAGGGCCCAGATGTCAATTTGTATTTTGTGTTGTCTACATCCAGTTTTTTAAATATACTTTTGTTTTTACTTCACTGCTTTTTTTTTTTTGAGGACCCTCAACTCTTAAGAATTGTAATTCGCAAAGAGACTTTAAATGAATCCTTCACTATGAACTATCTTTGCCTCCTCTGAGGACTATTGAGTGTGATTAGATTGTCGATGCCTGAAATCATCTTGTTAAGGCAGAAAAATTATTTTTCCCCCTTAGGAAAGCTGTTTGCTGGATACACTTTTTTTAAAAAAAAAAAAAAAAAATGAAAAATCAGAACCCTTAGAAGTTTTTGGTGTAGCACACCCAGCCCATCACCACTAGTAACCTTCCATCCGGAAGACAGTGTGGTATTGCCTACAGCCGTGTGCTGTGCAGGGAGCCAGTGCCTTCCCGCTCCAGCATTTCTTCTTTAAAGACAACCGTGATGAAGGGTGTGCACGGGAGGATAGCTAGTGCTGAGGGTGTGGTTCTCAGGTGTTTTGTCGTTTGGATTTTTTCGGCAGGATCCTTAATGTTTTGCATCAGCTTGGGCTTTTAAATTAGATGTGAAGTAAGACTTCTTTCTACATTTTTATAGTTAATTTAGTGAAAGATGTGAAAGTGAAAGCTTGTGAAAGATGCTGGGATTGGCAGCCCCGCAGACTGAAGTCCTCTGTTCATCCACAGAACAGGTACAGCACGGGCAAGATTTACCTACCCACCCTCAGCCCTGATCTGGAGGGACCACCAGTAGGGGTGGGCGGGTAATTCAGCTTCTGAGGCCCTTTCACTCCTTGGAGTCTTTGCTGAGGCGATTTACAAAGGTGACTGCTGCAGTGAAATTTTTCTTTAAAAAGTGGAAACACAATTAGGAACTAGATGGACATTTCCAGCTCATTTCTGAAAGACCAGGGAACAGCAGTCAGTAATTCTTGTGCTTTTTTTCTTATTTCAGATCCAAAAAGCTAATCCAAGAATCTGATCAGCACCTGAAAGATGTAGAAAAGATTTTGCAGAATGACAAACGGTATCTAGTACTGGACTGTGTACCAGAGGAGAGGAGGAAACTGATCGTGGCGTATGTTGATGACCTGGATCGCCGGGGTCCACCACCACCTCCCACAGCATCAGAGCCCACTCGACGATCAACAAAATAATTCTAAATACCCTTCCACGGGCTCTCTGTTAATTGAAAACGCTTGCATGAGCCAAAAGTTCAGGTTTTTACATATATGTGCATTAGTCAACCTATTGCAAAACCACCTGATGAACAGAAGGAGAAGCAATTGTGAGCAGTCTCTGAACAGAACACTTTGAAAATATTTAATGCTTTTCTTTGTGTGGCATGACTGACGTACATACTCAAATATAGGCTGTCTAGTAAATTTAAAATCTCGAAGCTAAAAATCATCCTTTTCTGAGATGTGGAAGTCAGTACTTGGTGGTGTTCTTACCAGCAGTGTTACTCAGCAAGACAGGAGCGTTTGTGGTTGGAGCTTGCAAATACCACAGACTCCAAGAAAACCGAAGTTGGGGTTGTTTTAATTTCGTTTTGAAGCGGGTAAAAGAGAAAACACTGAACTGAATTCTTGCGGAGACGATGACTGTTCTAGTGGCCATCCTTTGTCTCTGAGGAGCAGCTTAGCTGTGTGTTTGCTCCCGTGCTTTGATCCCCCTCTGAGTAGAGGCCACGTCGTGTGGAGCCCAGGAGAAGATTGCTTAGTAATTTCTTCTCAGGTCTGAACACATTCATAACTAACACGGTGGCCAGAATTGAGTCCTGGTTAAACATACTTTACTCTCCACTGAGTGATCTTTACCGAAATTCTGAATTAGACAACAAAATTACCTTTCTGGATGTTCCCTGTAAACTACTCCTGTTTGAATGTTGAACTTTTGTTTCTAAAGTTTAATTTTAAGATGTTTGAATGTTCAGTTTATGTATTTGAACTACAATAAACCAACCCTTTTATATATGTGGATTGTAAATGGTTATTGTTACACAATATATTTTATAAAAACTCTTAAATCTGTTTTTTTTTGTTTGTTTTTTGTTTTTGTTTTTTAAGAAAGCAGCATATGCGATTTAAGACAACTGAATCTTGGATAGTATATGGTTTTTAAAGGCTTGACTATAATATTGTATTTCCAATATAAAAGACAAGAAATTTTGTAGAAAGCCTGTTCTTCCTTTTTCCTTTGTGTGCCTGTGTTTTCAGTCTTTTAATGTTACTTGTTGCTTAATAGCGAGAATATTGTCATTTTTGTTTTCTTGTTTCTTTCTCATTAACATATCAAAGGGTTGTGCCTTTTGGGTTTCCTTTCAACCTGTCATGTATGTACCATGAACTTACCTTTGATGCTCAGTTAAGTTTTCCTGGCTTTTCCTTTTCTGTCTCTCTCGTTCTCTTGCTCTCTCTCTGTAAATCCTATGTTGTTCTCAGAGGTTGCCGGTACCAGAGTGCCACATAAATAAGATGTATGAGAAGATACGCTTATCGTCCCACCTGCCATGCTGGCAACAACACTTAGAAAGAAAGAGTGACTGACCTGTGCGTGTGTTCTGTAGAACATTCATGTCCGTACATTAAGTGTCATAGAAATTATGGAACCTGTTGAAGACTAAGGTCTGAAGTTGGTAAACAGATAGGATTTGTATCCCCTCTTTTGAAATTTACATTTACAAACTTACTATGTGCTTTTTAAGTTTTGTTAGGAGTGCAATTGAAATGCTTGCCAAAAGGAAAACTATTACAGATGTCTGCCTTCCCTGAGGCCTTCATTCTGAGCTCCATGTGGTAGTGTCTGCACATTCGTCCATCTGTCACAGTAGAAAAGAGTAAAGAAGTCTTGACGGGGCATTCCTGTGTCCTACTTAGGGCATAAATGCTTTGTGTGGACTGTTCTTAGAAGGAACAAGTCAATTTTTCCCTTGCAGAGTTTTAGATCAGAGCAGGACTCATGTTCTCAATGAATGATTCATTATAATTATATGTTGTTTTATCTGTAGCTTAAGGTGTTACTTTATCTGCAGTTGACTCAGAAACCTGGGACATTGTCATCCTCAGGCTGCCTCATAAAGCTCTCTTGTTCTGAGTGGTTTTGAAATGCTAATTCAAGACACAGACGGCTTTAAGTCTCTAACACCTGTCAGAAGTAAAACATTGCTTTTCTTTCTTTACCGGTTGAGATGTCATATACTTGAAGCTTACACTCTACATATTGTGTCTATAAAACAAGCTTGCTTCCTGCTTTCCACTGTCAGTGGCAACCCCTCATGTAACTGGATTCACAAAGCAGTTTGGATTCTTCAGCTAAACTAATATTTATTTGAATATGAGAACTTCAAATACAATTTGTACTGAAACAAGTGAAAAGGAAGGCAGCTTTGTCTTGCTGTGTTGAACAACCTTTTATAGTAAAACAGTTCTTTGTACTGTACAGATTAGTCTCCAAACTCCTCCATTCCTTGTTTTAGAGGCATTTTTCTTCTCAGAGGTACCCCAACAGGAGAATACCCCAAAGTTCCATTAACAAAGCAATTAAAAATCATGAGTGTATAATGCTTTTTATATTTAAAGGGGAGGAATGTACAATTATTGGCAGTACTGCATTCTGCTATACCTAAATTTTCCACATCTAGGAACTCGGAAGCTTCTTACATTGTCCATTGCTTTGCATTGTCCTTGTGACCATTCTATTCTTTTCTAAATTTCCTGTTAGTGTCTGCTGGGTGCTCGCTCTCTTGTGCTCGCGCTCGCTTGCGCTCGCTCGCTCTCTCTCTCTCTCTCTCTCTCTCTCTCTCTCTCTCTCTCTCTCTCTCTCTCCCCCCCTCTCCCCCCCCCCCCCCAATGTGTGCTATTCCACACTTTGTTACACTTGATTGTTTTTATATCCTAGCAGCCCTGTGATATCTTTAAAGTTCAGGGTGTTCCAAGTTTGATGATTCAAGAAAAGTCCCATCATTCTCCTTTGTGCTTGCCTATAACTGTTAATCAGTAGTTAATACCTGTGTCATCTTCAGCTTACAGTCTGCCTTAGAGAACAGAGAGCAAGGAGAATCAATTTAAGCTTGTAGAATACTCTGTTTTGGAAGAGAAGGGACATTTGTTTGAAAACTTTCTGCATTATGATATAGAATATCATGTTAGGCTACGAATATTCTCAGACTTTCAATCCAAAACTTAATTCAGGTAGATTTTTAAGGATTGAAACAGCTTTTATACTGTAAGGCAAGACTTGAATTTATTTAAATTTGGCCCCAAAGAGCCATGGTTTGAAATTAGTCCAGAATAGAAGATGTATTCATTATTTTTTAAATTTTGCTCAGGAAAATTATATGGATTTTTTCATCAAGTATATTAACGTGTACTTAGCAAACGAGAATTTACAAGTCAGATTTACACTTTACAAAAGCCAAAGTAGACATAGATTTTGAGCTATGCTTAGGTGAAATATAGCTTGCTGACGTGAGGCCAGCAGTTTCAGGAAGAAACAGTGATAAACTAGCCACTCCAGCCAGTGCTGTTCAGGGTGTGTTTAGGGGTTACCCTGGGGAAATGTTACCGTGAGCACAATAATTACATAACACTTCTAATGAGTTCTTTAGACAAGAGAATTCTGAAGCATAATCACCTCATGCCATTCTGCTTACCAGATTGTATAGTTTGAGAATGCAGAAGGAAATCTTTGCAGTTTCTAATGGTAATTTGTAAATCAGCAATATGGCTAAGCAACGGTACAAGTAAATACAATAGTCACATTTTTTTCTTTGAAAATTAAGTCCACTAATCATAGCTCTCTGTCTCTTGGCCTTCATGTTCCCAGGGTGTAGGGTCATTGTCTGGTGCTGAAGGGACAGCATCCCTCTCGTGCCAGAACTGCTGGACGTCAGGGAGGGTGGGAGCCACTGCCTTGTCAGTGTTCTCTTTGCTCGAGTTGGGAAAGCCGTGTCTGTCTGTCTCTTGAATGGATGTTTGGGACTCTGCAGACGGAATCTTGTCAGGAAGGGCCTCTGTGTTTCCAGCTGGTGCCCCCTGAACCTCTGAGGCACTTAGAGGCTTTCTGGTTACCATCCATTTCCATACACCTTTCAAGCCTGCCTTGAACTCTTCAGACATCACTAGAAAAATGAGAGGGTTTGCTGTCGAGATGGAAAACATCAGGACTTGAGATAGGGCTATAAAACCCTGTGGTGGCAGTGGACCTCCATCCTTCAGATGCCATACCCACAGCCAGGCTACCCATTCGGGGAGCCACAGAAGAGCAGAGGTGATAGCAGTGCTTAGCAGCATCACTGTGAGTTGCTTGGAACGGATCTGGTTTCTAAGGTTTTGTGTTTTCGTACCTCGTTTTTTACATTGGCCATAAGCTCGCCAGAAATAAAAGCTGGCTAGAAGTAAAGGAAGGCAAAACACCAGGAGAGGGTAGAGCTTACCAAACACTGACATGAATTCTTCGGCCACAGCTGGCACATCCAGGAGGCACATTTCCACGCCTCCGTGATGTCTGGTGGTGCTAAAGAACCATTCTGGCAGGGGAAGCAGGCTGGCTATAACCCAGATGGCCACCAGCACTGACCAGATGGTGCAGTTGTGGATACTCACTTGCTTGGCTGGGTCACTTGCATACAGGAAGCACACTTTGGCAACTACAGCAGTTGTCAGACTCTTGGCTGCCATGCACATGTGGATGAACCAGTCAGAGGACTTGCAGACAAACCAGCCTAGATCCCAAACACCTCTGGAGTATGCTGCGGCTCGGACAGGTGCAGAAAAGAGCAGGAGAGAGATGTCAGCCAGGCTGAGATTCAGAATCAGGGAGTGGATCATGGATGGCTTCCTTTTCCAAACACCGTGAAGGAGGATGCCAATCACACATAGGTTCCCCACGGAGCCCACCAGGCACATAGCCACCAAGAGAGCCGGAATGATGGTCCTCCAGTCCTTGGAGTCAGATGGCAGGTACCCTCCTGCAAAGTGGAGGTGAGCAGACGACACATTCATGATGCTGGAATTGGAGTCAGCAAAGACAGCTGTCAGCGTTGCCTTTCCCATGTAGCTCCTCCCTGCAGAGGTTAGCTTCTGGTTTAGGTTGATCTTTCTCTTTGCTCTTTTGCATAAGAAAAAAAAAATGCCCTCTGTCGTCCCCACTGACGACACCTCTGGACCCTCCCCTTGCTTGTTTGCTGACAATGGAAGGCTGGCTGCTGAGCTTTTGTGCTGCACAAAACTGTAACTGCATGGACTGACAGGCAGCAGGAGTGTGCTGATACTGCTCATTAGCAAGTCTAATACTAAACACCAGCTTCATAAAGTGATAACACATTCCCATAAATGATACATGAGGAGAAATGTCCAAGTAAGTAGGGATGTTCCCCTGGGGTGAGGGGAGATCATTAGAGAAGGTATTTTCAACCAGTTATTTCTAAAATCTTGACTGGATTTCTAAGTACAGACTGTGGTCTGTAATTCAGTAGACACTCCAGCTAATTCAAGCCCTTTGAGTTTTCACGTGCGTTAGGATCTGATAGCTTGATGTTGGTCTATCTAGACAGGGCCCAAGAGTCTTCTACCAAGTTCCTGTGGGGTGTTGCTACTGCTACCACTGGCACCTCACTCTAACCAGTGTTCCCTCCCCTCTTTTCCTCCGCAGACAGGAGCATTCCTTTCCCCAACCCTCACTGCCGAATCAGTTCCATGAACAACTGGCTGATGCAAGCACAGCTGCATAGTGAAAAAGTTGGAGAAGTACTTTTCAACCCAATTATGGGTGACCCAAGTTCATTGTGAATTTTCTAGAGGTTCTTTTGGAACTCTGAACTGGCTTACTAAGAAGACTTCAACACGTAATGGCGATGAAGCCAAGTGATAAGCTTTTCAGAATGTTTATGTTGAAGACATTTAGGAGAAAGTACCGTTTTAAAGTTGGAAAGCCAGCAAGGTGTCACAGCTGGTAAAAGCAGTTGCTTGGCAAACTCGAGTCACTTGAGATGGACTCCCTAGAGTTGTCCTCGTCCTCCACAGGCACGGTAACACACATACCTTGTGGGAGCCCATTTTCAGGTTTCCTAGTGGCTTTACCCAGCGGGTCTGCATAGAGAGGTTGACTGGACCACGGGCCTGAGTGCAGGTGTTCGTAAGGGTCTACACTTGACTGTAACTAGCAAGGCGGAGGTCTTTTGCTCCACCCCTTGGCATTGCTATAAATAGACCTTTGGAATAAAGTTCTGGGCCTGTTTGGATAAGGATCCAGGCTCACTCGAGTTTATCCTGCATTTCTCTCTTGTTTCTCTCCCCTCTATTTCTAACTAAGTCTCTTATCCCTCATTCCTCAAGAGTCCCTGGGGTAAATAATGGTGGGGACTGGTCCCCCACAAGACATATCTCAGAAAAAATACACAGTAACAAAATGGCTGGCGGAAGTAAAGCTCAGATGAACTGGGACGTCCCAGGCAGTGGATACTGGAGGGGAG